TGTTTTTAATTGTACTCTTAATATAATATAATATAATAAAGTTCTTAATTAAAAAAAAAGATCAGAATTGCACAAACCATGGTGTTCCCTGTGAAGCTCGATGGAAGCAAAAGTTGGACTTTGAAGAAGGCTAGGAAGAGCATTGACGGCTTTGAACTTTGGTGTTGGAGAAGACTCCTGAGAATACTGTGGACAGCCAAGAAAACAAACCAATGGATCTTCGAACAAATCAACCCAGAGATTTCACTCAAGGCACAAATGACAAGGCTCAAATTATTTTACTTCAGACACATTATGCGAAGACCGAGCTCTCTGGAAAAGGCTCTAATGCAAGGAAGGATGAAAGAAAAGAAAACAAGATGACTATCAGCAAGGTGGACAGACTCAAGTTACATTGGCGATGAGTACACCATTAGGAGACCTGAAATAAAAAGTTAGGGTTAGATCATCATGGAGAAAATCTATGTGATCAAGGACTACCTGTAAATAATATTCTGATCTTTAGTATATTAATCTGGCCATTTATTTCAAATCTTTATACTGGAAATAGGATTGGAGTTGGGGAGGTGAGAGTGCTCTCTAGCTGTTAATATTCATTACCTAATATCTTTGCTATAAGTAAACTTACTATTTTTTACTTACATTTTTTATTTTAAAAAGCTGCATTCTCATTTGTCTTTAGAGATACAGAAGATAAATTAGAGAAAAGCCAGAAAATGCTAATGAAAAAAGAATATGATTTGAACAAATTAAAGGAGGATTATAAAAAAATGAAGTGTGATTTAATTGGATGGGCCAAACAAGGAAAAAGGTAACAAATTATATGCATTTTTTATTTTTAATTCTGAAACCTGACAATATAAATTTTCGCTACAGAGTAATTTTTAAGATGCTGAACAATATTTTTAAGTAGTATGTTTGTGTGCATATTGAATATATAAACAAATCAGCAGGTTGTACTGCTTTTTGAACCAATAAAAATTCCTTGATCTTAAGAGAAATTCATGCTGATAGCAGTGCTTTCTCAGGTATATTACATTTGTTAAACTTAGTTTTTTTATGTTTGATTTTGATAAGTGGGACATGGTTTTGTATACGTATATCAAGGCCCTGAGGAAATATATGTGGGTTGTGCTGTCCATCATAAGGAGGAATGAATGAAGAAAACAAGAATTTCCATGTTATTTGGAATTCTTAATGAATTATTTTTAAATCTATTACTATTTTCTTTGTTTCTTTGAGTTTTAAAAAAATATTACAGAATTATTACATTTTAATGCCTTCCTTTTCTTTCTAGACTGAAATGATAATAAGAGATAGGTTAGCCTTAGAAATATTTAAAGAACATCAAACATTATTAGGGAAATATATTATTTACTCTCTCTCAGCCCTAGAGTGGGAAGTCAAAAAACATCCATCTACTATCCTGCACTGGACCAGAATGGTAGATTATAGTCAGTAACCGTCAGTCCTGCAGTGGATTTAATAATGATGATCATGATGATGATAATAATAATAATAATAGCCAAATCCAGTCTAAGCATCTGGCTGACTGTGCAACCAACCATAAGAGATGATGATGATGATGATGATGATGATGATGATGATAAAGCTGCAAAAGGCAGCTTTATTTGGAACAGCTTACATCCTGTGACGATACCTTTAACACCATCAAACAACATCTGCCTATCCCAGGTCCTTGGGAAGGACTTGATAGGTGGATGAAAATGCCAGATCCAGTCTAAACATCTGGCTGACTTTGCGACCAACAATATAATAATAGGTTTAGATAAGTGGAATCTTTTGGGTTTTTTTATTATTAATAACTTTATTGAGGTGCTATGCAGTGTGAGTCCAAAGGAAATCCTGTACCTTATCTGTCTCATTTCCTTTCTCTTTCACCAAGCACAATTCTTGGAAAAAGATAGATAAAACAAAATATACGTGCACATTTATTAGATATTATTAAATAGTGTTATAATACATATTCATTTAGTAAAACATTTTAAATGGCTGTTTAACAAAAAAATAGCTCCTAAAGAACTTTACACAGTTCAGTAGATTTATATAATTAAGATTATAATGTAAAAGATATAGTAGACAAGGCAAAATTGAATAGGGGAAGAAAGAAAAATACTGGCTCAGTAATCTGCTTAAATTTACAATTATTACGACTGGCAGGATCATTGGGTATTTTGATGAAATGGCTGCTGCTAGGTAACAATTGGGGACGGCCAAAGACAGTGATCATTCTGCAGAAACATCGAAATAGCCCTGCTGTTTTTCTCTCTTTTGTTTATAGTTTCAGGATTGTGATATAAAGAAAGCCATGATGTAAAGCATGTAGAAATAGAGGATTCCCTATCCAAGCCTACCTTTTAATATTATAAGAACTGGTTTGAAGATGCAGAGTGCTAAACAAACAGTGGATTCTTTGTTTTCTGCATCTGACCATTCCATCTGCAAAGCTGTTATTGGCATGGAAATAAATGGTAGTCCCTCACTTGTGCAGTTTTCTAGTGTGTGGGGGGGGAGGAAATAATATTTGACATTTCCAGTTTGCATGCATTTCGGGTTTTGCTTTCAGAGTTGAATTTACTGGTTTGAAAATAGATTTCAATCCACTTATGCTGTTGCTCTGTTTTAGTGAATGAGCATATTCTATAAGTACTCAGGTTGAAGTTTACTGCTGTGCTCCAAGCCATATTCAGAATAGTTCTGCTTATGAAAGAATGTTTGACCAAAGCTAAATTTACTCTTAATTTCTCATGAAAAAAACATGTAATTTGAGTTCTTTGTCATTTTGAAGATCATCATGTAAGTGTCTGTAAAGCTTTTTAAAAATTGAGATACAGTTGCAAGTAATCCAACAGATATGTATTATTCTCTGTTGTTCAATTGTTGTATTAAATTTGTCTTTTTGTTGATGACCCATTATTTTGTTTTATCTGTTCAAACTGAGCTTTTTTCATTTAAAGAACTGAACAGCAAAGAAATGAAGCACTGTATAATGCTGAGGAGTTGACAAGAACATTTAAACAATACAAAGAGAAAATAACTAATAAACTGGAAAAGGTAAGAAAAGACTCCCAAGATATTAGTAATTTTAATAGAATTTTTAATATACCATGCAGCTGTGAACTCAAGTATTAGTGCTAAAACTAAAGTGTCTACTGTTCTCTAATATGCTTTTGCCTCTGCTGTAATTGCAACTTTGACCAACAAAAATCAGATTCATATCAGAAGCATAATTCCTTGCTGTTAAAGGCACAAGAGTAGAAATTTAAGTTTGGAGGGTAGAGAGAGAATATAATTCTAGTTTATAAGAATACATAAGGATACAGATTTACCCAGGAGAAAGCATACGTGTCCTAAATGAACTGATAATTGAATAGACATGCATATGATTCCTTTCTTATTTATTTATTTACTTGCTTCATTTGCATACCACCCATTCACCAAAGCTCTAGGCAGCTAAGTGATGATAAAATAACACCTACAAAGAAAGAAATAAAAAAAAAACCCTCAAATTATATATAAAAATCAAATTCAAAAATGTAAAAAACAGAAAATATAAAAGTCATGTACTTGTAAACCTCAGCTTTAATCACAGCTTACCCTCCTCCTGTACTAGATGGAACAGATAGGTCTTGACAGGAGGGCCAGTACTGACTGAATCTGTGCAAGGAGAGAGAGTGTGTGGGCGTGGGGGGTTGTCTATTGAAAATCTCCACTTTCAGGGTCCTATCAAATGGCAGTCACATAAAGATGGGACCCTATTCAATCTGGTTGGATGGGCAAATAAATATGAGAGGAGACAGTCCCTTAGATAACCAATTCTGGAGTCATGCAGGACCTTAAAGGTGACAACCAGTAGCTGGAATTGCACTTGGAAGTCAACTGGCAACCAGTACAGCTGCTGAAGCAGTGAGATTACCCAAGTGTACTGGGATTCACTCATCATTGCCCAGGCTGCCATGTTCTGTACCAGCTGTAGCTTTCAAATGTTCTTCAAGGGTAGACCCATGTACAGTGCATTATAGTAATCCAGTCAGAAGTAGCTAGGGCATGATTGACTGTGAGCAGGGCCTCCTGATGTAGGAATGGTTATAATCGGCATATCAGTTGTAACTGAGCAAAAGCCCTCCTAGCCACAGCTGCCATCTGTTAACCAAGTAGGAACTGTCAATTTAAGAGGACCCCCAAATTGTGAGCCATCTGTACCATGGGGGAGTATAACTCTGTTCAGAATCAAAGGTAGTATTTCTCTGGAGTCATTAGACCCACAAACTCAAAGCCACGCTGTCTTGGAGGCATTCAATCTGAGTCCAATTAGAATTAAGTGCTTTACAGATATAGTTCAATATACTTTTTATTCCCATGAGGTTTAAGAAAAAAAGCACCAAGGGGACCTGCTTTATTTTTTTTATTTAAGTAAAACTATAATAAGCCTATAATAATTCAAGGCCCCTGAAATTGCAACAAATTTAGACTGGGCCAAAACCGTTTATCCAAATACAAGGAGCGGGATAGCTTTCAGTTTATTAATCTCTGTGGCTCTTTTCTTTTGTTACTTTGTAATTACTACTTTAAACTCCAAAGCTTTGGAGTTTTAGAGCCAGTAAAAAAAAGCTAAGATATTTTTCACATGTGAATGCAGTGAGCAATATTTATCATCTTACCTCTTTTTTAGGCAACTATAGAGAGTGGTAATTTAAGTATGATGCTGACTTTCTGTTCTAGTGTGGTTGGTCCTATAGAACATGAACTAGATCTAGAAATATAATTTCTATATCTTCGTTTAGACAGATAGACTCACCTCAGATCTTTCTACAACTAAGTGATAGAAAGGTACAAATGGAAGCATTGGAACTAAACACTTTCATTTTTATGTTTCCTCCTACAGCAGTCAACCTTTTCCAAAGAATATTGTACTAGACTGTTTAACAGGATTTCTGCCTTACTTTATTATTCTGATGTCACATTGATTAATTCTGAATAACATTTTTCTTTTATTCAGGTCCAAGTTGAAGAACAAATTTTAGAAAAAAAGTTAATGAACTGTGTAAATGAAAAGGAGAAGTTGCTGACACAATGTAATGTCTATAAAACTGAGTTTGAAAACATGAAAGATCAGTTGAGGTAAGTGTCTGTCTATGTAAGACTTTGGTATATAGACAGACATAAAATTGCTTCGATGTTTGGATCATGAACTTCTCTGACATTTGATAATGGTAAATGAAAATATTTGTATGTCCAGCTCAAGCCATATAACGACTCAGTAACAATCTTTTTATGTGTTAATGTTTTATCCAGTATATAAGTGTATTAAGTATATTAAGAGTAAGTATATTAAGTATATTAAGGGTAAGTGGACTGCGGGTGAGTGGTATATTAAGAGCAAGTGGATTCTCCACATTCTTCTGTGTTACTGTTTTGTAGTCCACAGAAGAAATTTTAGATTTTGAAATTTAAATATTAGATTGTAAACAAATAGGTTGCGAGAGCCAGTTTGGTGTGGTAGTTAAGGCATCAGGCTAGAAACTGAGGGACTGTGAGTTCTAGCCCTGCTTTAGGCACAAAGCCAGCTGGGTGACCTTGGGCCAGTCACTCTATCTCAGTCTTAGGAAGCAGGAAATGGCAAGCCACTTCTGAAAAGTGCAGGGACTTGTCCAGCCAGTCACATAATCTACAATTGGTTTATTGTAAGGGTGGGCAAAGTTTGAGGGATTGTTATTTTTTTCTGGATTTCAAGAGTGAGAATTAAATCTTGCTCCATTTCTATTCTAAACTCCATTTTTTACCTCCTGAAAAATGTTACCAATAATAAAATTGCTCCCAAACAGGTATATGGAGCTATTTTTTCAGAGGCATGGGAGAGGGGTATAAGGGGACCTGATGGACTGCCTTTATCATTATAGACCTGATTTATTATTAAGATTATTGCGGGGGGGGGACTCTACTATGTGTATCTAGAACCACAGGGTGCTATTTTGTGATTCTTTGTGGGCATGCCTTCTGTGAAGTAACACCTATATTCTGAAATGTTCTCTCCCCTGAAATTTGTGAAGCACCCACTGTTACATCTTCTAGGCAACTGTTGGAGACTAGTCTCTTTAGCCACTAGTCTCTTTTTTGTATGAAAGCTAGATTAATGTTTTTCTACTGTTTTCCTTTTCTTTTCTCCACTCCTTTTTACTGTATATGTTTTTTATATTATTTTAATTCATTCTTTTTATAGTGTATTTTATGTTTTCTCAACCACTTTTGGATGCTTTCGTATAAAAAGTGATATAAAATATATTTATTCATTTTGAAAAGGGAAAAAACTCACACTGTTAAAATTCAGCACTATTTGAAATTGCTGGGGGAGTGCTGGGGATTGCCAACCCTTGATTTATTGTCCACGTCTTACGGTTTATAAATGGATGTTATGTGCAAAACTGAGTCTCTGTTTTTAGCTGCTAGGTTTATTTTCATAAAACTCTACAGGAAACTATATTGTTATTGTTCAAAGAAACCTGCTATAAAAGATAAATCCATTCAAATCTAGCCACCATTTCTTAACCTCTTTCTGGCAGTGGGCAACACTGCACAGTTTTCTCTGATGCTGCAAGTCCCAAAACATAAAACATTTAAAACCGATTAGCTTCTGAGAAGATATGGGCCATTAACTTTTATTTGTTTGTTTGTTTGGATGGACGGGCGGACAGACAGACAGACAGATAGATAGATAGTAATGGTCCACATACACAGGAAAAAAAATCCCTTCTCACCTCTATGGGTGGTATGTGTCTTCCTCAATCTCAGGTCCTCTACCAGAGGCCTGGGAGTTTGAGGGTTCT